GCCGATGTGATGGCAGCAGTGCCGATGTGATGGCAGCAGAGCCGATGTGATGGCAGCAGCGCCGATGTGATGGCAGCAGCGCCGATGTGATGGCAGCAGCGCCGATGTGATGGCAGCAGCGTAGTTCTCGGCATTAATACACTGTAGGTGCAAGTCTAAAAAATAGCCTGGAGTTGGGCTTGAAGGCAAATGAGCTTTGCCCATGCAGTAAAAGAAATGGGTTCACTTTAATGCATACATTTTATTTTGATTTGCTTTCCTTCTACTCTGATCAGCTGCCGGAAGCAAAGAAAATAATCAGTACTTTCAAGTATTTAGTGTGCAACTTGCTCCCTTTCCTTGGGGGGAGGGGGGGACAGTTAATTCTGCATAAGCTCTCACTTTGGAGTGAGATTTTGTGATGCTAACACTGTGCTGCTCACCGTTATCCTTGCTGGAGTGGAAGCTGTACCTGAGGATCTGAAATGCAAGGATCACCTTGCTTATCCTTTATCCATTCTACGGAACTGTGCTCCCTCGACCTCTCCAGCTACTTCTTAAATAATCCATCGCCAATGATCAGGAAGGGCAAGCTCAGACAGGAGGAAGCAACATCCTGGCTCTACCAAGATAGCCACCACCTCCACGGAGAGAGTGCAGAAAAAGGCATGCCGCGTCAGTGCTTGGAAAAGGATCAGCTGCACGGAGCCCACAGACCATACTGGTGCCAAGTCCTTTGCCCTCTGCTTGCCTTTTTGGGGCATAGCTTCCACAGTTCAGGTCCTTTTTGAGCAGTGAAGCAAGGATGAGGATGACAGAATCATAGCTTTCATTTGCAGCAGATCGGCAGTGACATATTACTTTTTTACAGGTTTCCCTTAGGTTTCCCTTTAAACTTGCTTTAGTGCCCAGTATCACAGACACCCTTCTAAAAAAATTTTACACAATGTTCGGTACAGAAAGCGCAAGCTGCTTCTAACCTGGTAGAGGCGGACAATCTCTGGCGTGTGCTCCTTCTCATCCATCTGCATCTCCCGCTTGAGCAAGGTGTCCTTACAGTGCTGGCAGCAGCGGATCTTGTCGTCGTCTTTTTCCTCCAGGATGGAACTGACGCTGCTGAGGCTGCTGATGCTGCCGCGCCGCGAGGTCTGGGCGCTGGTGTTAGGGGACAGATTGGGGCTACCGTGAGAGGAGGCCGAGTGCTTACTGGCGCTGGTTAGTTTGTCTGTAGAAGGTAAAGAAATGTTACAAATCGATCTGTAAAACAAGAAAACTTGTGGAATACGGGACAAACTTATTTTAATTCCTCACTGGCGAATGGAATGGTGACGAGTTCGGTGCATTTCCTGCACATGATGGAACCGCACAGTCGGCAGTGATGGCGTCGGTTGCGCATGGTGAACTTATTGCCGCAATCAGGACAGAAGGGTACATCCTGGTCATGCACCCAGGGCACCACGGAACGCTCAATGGCTGGAGGACAGAAAAGCCACAACTTAATTCAGAGTCCTGGCTGCGAACAATGACACCAAACAACGAGACCAGCCTACCTCTTATCTTGGCGGAGTCTGTGTTCACACGGTCAAACGATGTGAGCTGGAGACAGATACAAATCAAACTGTTAGCTCCATGAGAACAATGGAAGGTAAATCACAGCAAAGAAATGACCGCGCCAAGTTTTGTTGAGATTTTACATTGTTTGGCATGAAAACATGTGCCCTGGCTTCTTAAAGGGTAACTGCATTACACCCCCCATTCCCTGTAAATGGGTGTCGTGGTGAGCCAGGGAGCAGGACCATAATGCCCTGGGCTCCGGCTGAATAACACTGGCCATCATTCCACCTGGAAAAGGAACTGCACTGGTTTTCAGAGTGGTGAGTCTGTGGGGAAGAGCTCTGCAGGGGAGATGTGTATTGCAGCCAGAGCTGCACTTCTTAAAAGAGAACCTTGGGGTAAGTGTTTTTCCTCATAGTTCTCTTAAAAGGAGAACTATGGGGTTAAGGATTTTCCCCATAGTTCTCCTTAGGGTAACGGGAGGACACAAACTAGCGTCCTCCCGTCACCCTAGGCTCAGTATACCGCGAGCCGTAGCTCGCGGTATACTGAGACGCCACAGCTGAAGCGGATCTCGACAATTGTGCCGGGATCCGCACAGCTGCGTGACTGACAGCTGGCTCGGCCTATCTAGAGGCAGAGCCAGCTGTACCCTCCCCCTCCCCCGTCCGATCTGCCAGTCACCGCTGGCGGATCGGAACGGGGGGAATCCAGCCCCTCCCCTGTCACGGCAGAGAGCCGTGACAGGATCGAGAGGTGAGTGAACGCCGGTATGTGTTCGCTCACCACCCGATCTACTGAGTCTCACTGTCACAGGTCGGCTAGAACTATGAGGTGAGTGAAAAGCACTCACCTCATAGTTCTCCTTTAAGGGTCACGGGAGGACTTACACTAGCATCCTCCCGGGACCCAAAGCTCAGTATATAGGGAGCTACAGCTCGCTATATACAGGAGAACGCCACAGCTAGGACGGATCCCGACATTACTGTTGAGAGCCACCCAGCTGCGTGATTGACAGCTGGCTCTGCCTATCTAGAGGCAGAGCCAGCTGTACCCGCCCCCTCCCCCGTCCTTTACACTAGTCAGCACTGGAGGATCGGACAGGGGAGGGCATCCCTGCAGGGAGCTGTGACTGACAGTCACGGCTCTCTGCAGGGACAGGATCGAGAAGTGAGCGAGCGACGGTATGCGTTCGCTCACTTCCCGATCTATAGGGCCGATCTGTGACAGTTTCATTGTCACAGGTTGGCTTGAACTAGTAGGATGAGTGATTTTCACTCACCTCATAGTTCTCCTTTAATCCAACAAATGCTGGGCTACCGATTAAAAAAAAAAAATACAAAACTGAAAATTGTTTTTAAAAAGTACCTTGCCTTTCTCATCAAGTCGTCATCAAGAAGAACTCCGGGCACAATTTTTTTTTATTTAACCCTTGCAGTGGGGTTTTTTTTTTTTTTTTTAGGCAAAAATGAGCAAAGTTATACTTACCTTATCCTTGGAGCCGGCTTGCTCTTAGACTTGTCCCTGGAGCCTCTCTCCCCCTCCACTGCAGTAGTCTAAGGTCCCCGAGTCGTCATGTCCCCGTCCTTCTCTATGGGACGACGCGGCCATACGCCCTCCTACGTTTACCTCAAGTGCAGGTGCGTGTTTCCTGGCTCGGACGCAGAGAGGATCCATCCCGTCAGCGTACGAGTACGCTCACACGGACGTGCAGGGTGGGTGAGCGTACGGCCGCGTTGTCCCATAGAGAAGGACGGGGGCCGCGTACTAATCACACCCAGCACCTGTCCTTCCCGGGAGCTGCCCGATACGGCCGCGCACGCAGCACAGAGCAGTACGTGCCAGCCGTTTATAGTGTGAACGAGGGCTAAAGGTCACTGCAAAGGACAAGGGGGCCCTCTTTGCGTCCGGAGGAAGAGGTTTAACCTTTGCATACGGAAAGGCTTCTGCACAGTTCTATTCACAATACTACAGAAGCTGAACTAAACCCGGGGCAGCGGCGCTCACCTTTTCTAATCGAATGATTAGTTTGTTGACTTCCACCACATAGTGATCTATCCTGGCCGCCCGGTGCCGCTTAAAGTCAGAGAGGTGAGTCCGAGTCGCTCCTGCCAGAAAACAGAGAGATTATCCCGACCGTAACTGATAAAAGCCCATTAATACTTCACCAAATGCAGAGATAAAAACGTTGCTCTCATATGCGTCACCAGCTCGCTATGAACGAGAAATAAGTGTTTAAGTTGTGGGGTGAGAACGTGTCAGGGACCTGCCAGAGGACGGCCAGAGCAAAACCGTGAAAGATTTGCTGACTGGCACTGCGGGATGGCATTCAACTCTGCTCTGCTGGAGGACTCTGCTCTGCTGGAGGACTCTGCCTCTGTCTCTAACTCTCGTCTAAAATACTCTGATGCTGGAGGACTCCTTCCTTTAACTTTCCTCTCCTGAAATACTCTGCTCTGCTGGTGGACTCTGCTCCTTCCTCTGACTCTCCTCTCCTGAAATACGCTGCTCTGCTGGGGGACTCCGCTCCTTCCTCTGACTCCTCTCTCCTGAAATACTCTGCTCTGCTGGGGGAATATTCTACTACCTCTATTTAACGTTCACTTTGTGCCTTTTTTACTCTTCCCGCTTCCCTGCACAATCTAATACAAAACTCCCGAACACTCTCTCTGGTTGATCAAACTATGGAGCCGGTTGTGAAAAAACAAAAAAACCTTTAATGAAAAGTGAAGTGGATGAGTGAAAGGTTCTACCCACCGATCTCCTGAGGGTCCCACATACGCGGATCCACTCCCCCATAGCTGTACGCCTCATAGCGCTCCTGGGATCCACCTTCAGCCTTCTCCGCTCCATCCTTCTTCAGCAGCTTGTTCTTCGCCTTCTTAGCAATGTGCACCAGATCTAGTAATATGGACAGAGGAAGGGATCCTTGTAAAGCTGGCCAGAAGCCTTGGTTGTAAGTGTGACGGACCCCGGTACTCAGGATGAGTATGTCCGCCGCTGTATTCTTCCTTGCTCAGGAGATACTGCACCCCGCTGATCTTTAGCTCCCAGTTTCCCCAGTCACTGGGCGAGACACGAGTGTAGGGTGAAACAAACTCTGATTTATTGAGCAACAGTGCAACCTTTTATACAGCAAGTGAGGAGATCAGATTATAATCCCATCACATCCCCCCTGCCTGTCCCCAGACATTCTGTCTTCACAACACCACAGGGCAGGGGCGTCCCGAGGCTGGGTGAAACACGAGTGTCACCCTGCCGAGATGTCACTGCGCAAGCGAGTGACGTCACCTGATACTGTCGGGCGTTCGGTCCATGACCGAGTGCCCAACTTTTCAGAGGGGGGGGGGGGTGACACCAAAATGACTGAGTAATTTTGGTGTCACCCCTCCAATGGTGTCACCCGGGTGCGGGCCACACCCCCCTTGTGAAACCCCACCCAGTACAGGCTACTGGCAGAAAGCTACAGGAAGGTCAGATACACGACCAGTCACCCTGCACAAGGTGAGCAGCAGTGAGCGGTCTTTATTACAGGAGGGGGGGCGGAGACAAGACCAGTCACCCGGCACCAGGAGAGAGAGCAGCAGTGAGCGGTCTTTATTACAGGAGGGGGCGGAGACAAGACCAGACACCCTGCACAAGGAGAGAGAACAGCAGTGAGCGGTCTTTATTACAGGAGGGGGCGGAGACAAGACCAGACACCCTGCACAAGGAGAGAGAGCAGCAGGGACCGGTCTTTATTACAGGAAGCTCCAAGTCTCACACTGGATTACTGCTCAGACCTGGAGGAAATACACAAATCTCACCACGATTCATGTATGAGGATGATATTTGCTTATTCCAGAGTTCAGCTTTAAGTCGGGATAAATCCTGAGCACACAAAGACTTCTTATTTAAAACAATTAAACTATTCTCTATAGGTGGCTTATGCTGTCGTTAGCTCACAGCAGTTGTTCAGTAATGATGCGAACTGTACTATTTAACATACAGACAACCAGGGTTGTTGCTGGAGGATCGAAAACAAATACAAAGTCAGCAGCATTAGCCCCTCCCGGACACCACCTGTGACTGATACCGTGTTTCCCTGAAAATAAGACACTGTCTTATATTTTTTTTTGCCCCACAAAAACACACTAGGTCTTATTTTCAGGGGATTTTTTTTTTTTTTTTTTTTAAAGTGCAACAAAATGTACAACAATCCAAAGTTATCTGGTATCACTCCGCCTGTCACACTACAGCACAGCAGTACCAGCGGTGCAGCAGTGCAGACATCAGACAGTGGACAGCGCTGTAAAGTACGGTAACATTTACCGGTACACATTACAGAACATTACCATTACGTTTAGCAGTGCCTTCGGGGGACAGCAGTTGGTGAAGTATGGTATGGAGTGCTGCCTGTCACTGCGCAGGCCGAAGGGAGTCCCCTGTCATCCCCTTAATACGGTATGTCCCTGCAGGCTGATACCATCTCTCCTGCTCTTCAAGTTCCCCCTAACATGCTACCACCAAACTAGGTCTTATTTTCGGGGTAGGTCTTATTTTCGGGGAAACAGGGTATGTTATGTTTGGGTGGACTGCCCCTTTAAGGACAACACTCACTTTTGAACTGCCCCTTGACGTCTCGGTCTTCACTGGAGTGTTCCTCCTCATAATGGGACTGCAGCTGGTAGAAAGACTGGAGATCCTTCAGGCACAAGGGGCAGAGGAAGCCCTCTCTCACCTCCCCCTGCTCATCGAATGGGGCGCTGTACTGCGACGCCATGACCGATGCTGTGGCTGGTCGGGACCTCTTGGAGTGACATCCGGACACCAACGCACCTCACAGGGCCGCGGGCCGAGCTGGGAACAGACACACAGATCGGAGACTTTCATTAGGACAGAGTTCAGTGGAGGGTTGAACTGCTCCATGAGGAAAATGAACAAGTGGCGGGCAGGGCGGTCACAGGGGATGGAGGCCTCGGGCTTTACAATGACAAAAATCCTAAAAACTCAGCTCAGACTTGCAGATTGTCTTCATACCGAACATTGCAATGGACAGAGAGCCTCAGTCTGCTGCCAGGAAGTCACCGGGACTGTCATAGGGACACACACAGTCTGCACAGACCCTAATGACCTGCAGCCAATCAGGAATGAGCATCAAGGGCACATGTGTATTTCCTGGAGTGTCTTCTAGGTACCAGACATCGTTCCTAATACTCCCTCCTCAGCATCTCCTTCCCCGTCTCCCTCATCCTTGGCTTCAGGTGTTCTGTGTATGGGGAACCCTCTGCCCCCATCCCCAGTGTATGGGGTACCCTCTGCCCCGTAACATACTCTGCACTCTGTATTAAAAGCTGCTTGTTGTGTTATCCCGCCAATTAATTGAATCAATGCATTGTGCCACCCATCCTCAGTGTACCCTCTGCCCCCTCCATACTGCCCCATCCTCAGTGTTAAGCCAGCAATATTTTTGTTTTTTCAAAAAAATTTATTCTACAATTTAAGATATGTTCAGACTGCTGAAGCCAGGACTCTGTACCCTTCAAGGAGAGGACTCATGACACCCTGCACTCACAGTATGTCCTCGGTGTTGAATGGTACTGGGTGTCATTTAATTAATCAGACTGGGGGCATCTTGTGGCGGTGGAGGGGTATTGCGGGGGGACCGTGCTTTAAATACCTTTTCCTGCTGCTTCCTGCCTTCGGGCTTTACACCTACCTATATAAGAAATTGGCTTGGGCGAGGGTGGCTTGCTATTCCTGATGTGGCAAATGGGTCCGCCATGCACATGAACCCATATCAATGGAGGGGCTTGGATTAGGTTTCCTATCACATACCTGGTTAGAGGCTGAAGTGACAGGAGGTCCTCCTCTACACCTCTGGTTCACAAACCCTCAGAATGGTGGACAGGGGGAGAGAGGGCACAGGGTGGCACAGGTGCCGAATATCCACTCGGCAGGCACTCACTTCTTGTAGAAGGCTTTGGTGGTTGCTTGGCCACGAGGTGCTCCCGAAGGCAGATGACAAGGATGGGGGATGGACGTCACTGAAGAGCAGGGCTGCCAAAGTAGTCACAGCAAGAGGCAAGGAGCAGGTTGGATGATCAGGTGGCAGCAGGCTGGAAATGTGGTCTGAGATGAAGCTGGAGTCAGCAACCATGGAGACAGACAGCAGGCAGGGGAGCAGACAGAGTCATGACCAGGAGGCAGTATTTGGCAACCTTGGAGACCGAAGGCAGGGTAGCTGGCAGAGTCATGGCCAGCCAGGAGGCAGCAGCCATCAACTGCACAGACAGCAGACAGGCTAGCAGGCATGGTCATGACCAAGAGGCAGAAGTCAGCAAATATGGAGACAGACGGAAGGGTAGCAGGCAGAGTCATGACCAGCAGGCAGAAGTTGGCAACGTTGGAGACAAGACAGCAGGCGGGGTGGCAGGCAGAGTTGTGACCAGGAGGCAGAAGTTGGCAACATTGGAGACAAAAGGCAGGGTAGCAGGCAGAGTCATGGCCAGGAGGCGGGATTCATCAACTGTGGAGACAGCAGGTAGGGTAGCAGGCAGAGTCATGGCCAGGAGGAAGAAGTCAGCAGCCATGGAGACAGACTGCAGGCAGGGTAGCAGGCAGAGTCATAGCCAGCAGGCAGAAGTTGGCAACCTTGGAAACCGAAGGCAGGGTAGCAGGCAGAGTCAGGGTCAGGAGGCGGGAGACATCAACTGTGGAGACAGCAGGTAGGGTAGCAGGCAGAGTCATGGCCAGGAGGCAAGGTAGAAGCAGGTCCACACCATGCTGGGTCAGCAACAGGTAGGCGCACAACAGGATCGGGCTCAGGTCACCAAGTACCGTAATAGCTACAAGACCTTCTGGCAAATTCTTGGTTCGGCTCTGCATTTTAAAAAAAGCCTTCTGCCGCCAATGCTGGAATTGGCGGTGTGTGACTGGGCTCCCATGCAGCTTATTCGTGCAAATGTGCATGCTCACATAGACATGCATGCATCTCCAATGGCTATGGCCCTAGGCCCTTGACCGCACATTGGAGCGCACGCATGCGCACATTGTCTTGCCTTGCTGACATTTGTATAAAGTTATAACAAGGTCATACCAAGCCGCTGATCCTTATCCCTCTACTCGCTGAGCGCCGTGGCCCGGGATTATGCAAATTACGTAATTTACATATTAATGTGCACCTTCTTTATTTAATAAATACTGGTCAAGGATCAGAATTCACCATCTGTTTTATATTTAGATTGGTGGGGAATATAAACAGATCAAAGTCAAGACTATTACCAGCAGATGAACAACAGCAGTGGGTGGTATAATGGGAATTTCAGGAAAAGCCAAAGGAATTAATATTGGGGGTGGGGTGGGGGGGTAGACGGTTTTATCTCGGAGACTGTAATGAGAGATTTACATTTGGAAGATAAAAGCTTCAAGAAACTTTGTATCTCTAATTATATTACAACGTCATTATCAGTTCAGAAGACACACAGTTTAGGGTGTCCACGCGCCTCACGTATCAGAACACAGGTAGAGTTTTTGTGGTCACTTCTCTTAGAGCTCATTCACAGTCCCTTCCCATTGGAGCTGCTTTGGGCACTTCTGTCCAACACAAAGACAAGGCAGCTTACCTTATGTCCTGTTGTCCTAATATGTCCTTCGGCTTCCCCCTCCGATGCAGAGGTCAGGGCTACATGCACCGCCCAGGCCCACTCGCGTGGTGCAACCCTCAATCCCCCCCCCACACTGCCCCATTCTCCTGCTGGCTAGCTTCCGCAGGCGACAGGCGGATGTAAGCAGCCGGGAGCAATAGCCAGACTGCTACTGGCTATTTTAATTTTGAAATAGCCAATAGCAGACTGGTTATTGAAACCCCACCCACTGAGCAGAGAAGCGGACCTGAGAGAGAAAGCTGCCTTAGTTCCGCTCCTCTGCTCAGTGGGCCGGTGCAATGGCCAGCCTGCTATTGGCAATATGAAATAGATGGGGGTGGGAGTTGTCAAGGCTTCACAGCAAGGCAGCAGTCCACCTTAAGCGGCTGCCTAGTTTGCCTGGTGGCAGCACCGGCCCTGGGTCAGGGTGACATGATCCTGCTTACAGTGAGATCCTGGAGTATGATAAGTAGCCCAAATATCACAAGAAGGTGACCCTGCAGTGTGCTGCAGCATCATCTCTTAATATTTGGGCCGCTCAGCATTCCCCCGGGATCTCTCTGGCAGGATGGTGACGTCATCCCCTGCAGTACGAAAGCTGAGGGAAGGTAAGTTTTTTTATTCCCCCCCCCCCCCCCCCAGGTTCTTTTCTTCAGTTTAATTGGATTAGGGGTAGGTTGCCCCATGCTATGGGGTCTATTTGTAACAAATTCGCTTTGTTACAGGGCGCGCAATTGGGTTGTACACGCAATGCGCATATGGATGGAGCTCCAGCACAGCAGCCCACACTGGACCCCAGGCTCAGGATCCACTTCAGTTCCCGTAAGGTAGGGAGACTGGAAGGATCTTAAGAAAAAGAGAGTGGGAGTGTGTATGTGTGTGTGAGATTGTGTGCGTCTGTCAGCGTTTTTGAGGCCCCGTGCACACTTGTACAATGCGTTAATCAAACAGTCCTGTGCGACGAACGCACTGTGCCAAGCAATCGCACCTACTACGCACATGTGGGAGGTGGGTGGTGATGTCATTCATTTGAATAGCGCCCCAAACGCACCTCCTGCCCACAGTTCAATCGCTGGCACCGGAACGCGCGGTACCGCAATGCCGTACGTTCCATTGCTGTGCGACTTGGGTCGCAACTTAACGACCAAGGACAAAAGTGGGGTCCTGAGGTTACACAGGTTGAGAACCACTGCTTCAAAACAGATGCTCCAGGAAGATTCACCGGCACTTATTATTTAGTGAATGTCAGATTGAATATGCCCTTTAGTGATTTCAGCATTTTAGAGCAATACCCGGTTTTCCGTTAATTGGGGCGACTTTCGATGCTGCGCGGCACTTCTGCTCGAATGAACAAACACGTAGAGTGGAAAAGAAAAACATTGACGCAGAATTAGTAAAAAAAAAAAAAAAAAAAAA